GGAAAGTTGGCAGTCAGTCTTCAGCACGGACATAACGAAAGAGCGAGCAAACAGTCAGTTTACAATAATTCATCATTAATAATTCAGGGTTCAATTTAAAGTCTGATTCGGAGAAATGGAAAGAGAGGAAGCGAACGAACGAAACCTGTACGGCAGGGCAGGTAACAGACAAACACGAGTGAAATCAGTCAAGGAGAGCTTGAATTTTGACAGACAGACGGCAAACACATACACACACGAGCTTCGTTCCTCCGATACAATAGAGGCAGGAACAGGCAGGCAATGGAAGGGTACAGTGTATACACAGCATATTCCAAGACGGCACACTAATACTGCGCGCCAACTAAAATCGATCATTTATTTAGTGTGTTTGTGTGTGCGAGCGAATGAGCAGAGAGAATGTTAAATTTTAATGCGCCCAAATTCGATGGCGGTAGTGTACAGCAGTGAGATCAAACACACCGTGAACGAAGCGAAGTGAAGCCCTTTGCTTGATGGATTGCTTTGCTGAGCTTCCGCGTAACGATCAAAGTCAGCAGCAGCAGCAGCGAAAGCGGTGGAAATATGCCCGTTCCATGTTCTCTCATACCTTCGTGTACGACGGTATTGTACAGCAGCGTGTGGTGCACAAACACACATACACTGACGTAATTCGTCAGCGACGGCGGCAGTCTTAAACTGCAATTAATCGATCGCTTAGTGAAGAAGGAGGAAGGTGATGAAAGGCTGCTGCTGGAACACCTGCCACCGTTACAAACTCACATTAACTGACGGAGATCATTATCACGGCAGGAGCAGGGAATGAAGAGAGAGAGAATGAATCGCGTTGAAAATATCGCCTTGCTATCGATTGGAGAAAGTGGGCCAGCAGCAGCAGCAGCAGAAGAACAGCAAAGCAAAACCCAGAACATCGACGGTGTGCACCGTATAAAAAATGAAGAAGAAGGCAGAGGAAGAGGAAGAAGAAGAGGCAGCACCAGAAAGGATATCGATTTTCGATCAATCCCCTCAGCAGCAGCAGCAGAGAGCACTACACGACAATTGAATTTAGTCGACAGGTAGTGCTTGCCTGCTTGCCTAGCACATCATGTCCGGGCCCGAACACAGNGTGGGCCAGCAGCAGCAGCAGCAGAAGAACAGCAAAGCAAAACCCAGAACATCGACGGTGTGCACCGTATAAAAAATGAAGAAGAAGGCAGAGGAAGAGGAAGAAGAAGAGGCAGCACCAGAAAGGATATCGATTTTCGATCAATCCCCTCAGCAGCAGCAGCAGAGAGCACTACACGACAATTGAATTTAGTCGACAGGTAGTGCTTGCCTGCTTGCCTAGCACATCATGTCCGGGCCCGAACACAGCAACAGCAGCAGCAGCGTCTATGACCATCATTAATCACATGCAATCACACGTTGAGAGGAAGGCAAAGTAAGACACACCGTTTTGTGGTGCGGTCTTGGCAAAGTAATGGAGGTGTTAAGAGGGGGCAACAACACACACAACCGCAACACAACCCAATCGGTAATGGTAGCATCAACGGGAAAAACTGTGTTTAACACAGCACTCTACAGCACTGGAATGCAATGATCACGAACAAGAATGAAATGGCCGCAAAGAGAGAGGAGAAAAGTGTTGGTCTCCATCGAAACTGCTGCTGCTGCAGTCGAGAATAAAAGGAGTTGAGCTGAGATTCAAAAACGAGTTCAAGCAGGAAGAAAGAATAAAAAGGCAGAAACACAATGTGGCACTGGTAGACAGAAGAGAATGAGAAAGAGGAAGTGAAAGAAAAGAAAAGACGATCCTTCCAAAGCGTTGAAGCACGGCCGTTGAATTAGCCTTGAAAGAGGTGGGAATCCAGGAACTGCTGCCACGAACACCAAACACAGGAAGCACTCTAGCTGGAGGCCAATTCTACAGGAGCTAGTGTTGCTGTTTTTGTTCGCAGGAGAAAGAAAAGTACAATAGCAGAGCAAACGAACAAATGGCAGTGGTGACAGGAGTGCCATTCTCTCACTGGAGCGAGTTCACAGGGTCTTCACTACCTGTCTACGCACCAGTTTGCAAGTTCTAGAAGACTCCTATGAAGCATTGGGAGAGGGGACCTAATTGAAAATAAAGTTGGAAATTAATATAAATCTTTTTCGGGTGCCATTTCGGTTCTATTCTAGTCTTCCGCTCATTCTCTATTTCTATTTGAGTAGGGGGCAAGATGATTATTATTATTGCTCGCCCTTATTATTGCCCTATTACCCTGCGTACTATTTCCTAATTTATGACTCCCTCGCCAACGCTGNGGGGACCTAATTGAAAATAAAGTTGGAAATTAATATAAATCTTTTTCGGGTGCCATTTCGGTTCTATTCTAGTCTTCCGCTCATTCTCTATTTCTATTTGAGTAGGGGGCAAGATGATTATTATTATTGCTCGCCCTTATTATTGCCCTATTACCCTGCGTACTATTTCCTAATTTATGACTCCCTCGCCAACGCTGAACAGCCGATTAATCATTGAGTAAAACTGAAGAAAGGTAAAGAGAAGAGAGAAACAAAGAAAAAATGGAAATAAATGTGAATATTGTAAAACGAGGCTAAAAATAAACAAGTATTCTGGGTCTTTTGCAGTGCTCTTTTTAGGGCAGCGGTGGTGGTGGTGGCAATAACAATTCCCCTGGCGGTCGATTACATTAAAAGTAAATATCAATTTAGAGTACAAAGATTACGACTTACTTGGACAAATACGACGGGAGGGGACGGGGAGGCTGTGTGTTCGCTCTCGGTTCACCAAGTTAAAGAAGAAGAGGAAGAAGATATGGTGAAAGGTAATCGAAGAAGGAAAATGAATGTGAAAAAGAATGCGAGGACAAATGACAACCACCACCAAGCCCCCCCCTTTACATTTCCACCCACAGTTGATGAGGGAAGGCGATGCCATTTCAAGCATTACCACTGCCACCAGCACTGTCAATCTGTCTGACGGTGTGACTGCCGTCTGTGTGCTTGTCCGGGCTCCAAAGTCTGGTGAGCACCAAATTAACTTGTTAGCGTTGACGACGTAATTAAATATTGATTTGCGTGTCGAGTGCCAAAAAGAGAAAGTCAAAGTGAGCGACCGAGTGAGCGATGGGAAAGTGGACGGGTTGAAAGAGGAAACCGCCGGGTTGATGGCCACTTTTTTGCTGCCACCGTCGTCGTCGTCGTTGTTGTTGTTGCCGCTGCCGTCGCAACTTCTCTAAAAGGCAAGTTTGACAATCAAAGCCCACCGGAGATGGCAAGAGAGCTGGCTGCATAAAAAGTGTTGAGCAAGTAGTCGAAGCATTTCTGTCAACAACAAGGAGCGAGGATCAGATTTCAAGAGTGAATTTGAAAGCAATGGTAACTCGCCCGGTTCTGCACTTTCGTTCTTGCTGGTAGAATTTCGCTTTGCTGTACAAGATTTTAGTTAGAAAGGACAAAGAACTTGTCAAATTACGCGGAACTAATTCTAATTTGGTTCTCAAGATAAAATTGTTTTTCGAATACAAATTTTGCAACAATTTGCTTGTGTTCTATTTAAAACATTGTGCAACTGCGATATCGAACACAGTTCAATTCTGCAAATTTTGAAAAACACTGAATTTTCACTTTCTTTCCACAACGAAACCAAAGCTGACGCCTGGTGGTGCCCAATCAAGATTGCCCTGCAAGAATTATCATTTGCCATCGAAGAAGCAGCAGCAGCAGACGACGACGATGTCTACCTCGGCAGCACTGCGACAAGGCGAAAAGCCTGCCAAGAGCTCGAAGCGAAAAGGTTAGCAACTAACTAAACTAGCAGCGGCAAACTAAGTCACCGCCACCGCTCTCTATATACCACCACCACTGGTTCTGTCTGGTGAAGCTGCTGGGCTGCTGCTGCTGTTGCCAGCAACGGTCGTCTCGCTTGTACATTCAATGTCGAGAAAGAGAGAGAGAGAGAGAGAGTTGCGACACAGTTGTCAGGGCTGAGAAAGAGGGAAAGAACAGCAGCACCAGAGAGTAAAGTTGCACGGTAAAGTGAAGGAGGAGGAGATGCAAGAGAAGAGAAGAGCAAACATGTGCTTCCTCTGGGCAAACACGGCGACGACTGCAGTAGCAGCAGCAGCAGCAGCTAACCTGAACTGAATGTCAGTTCGTTCAACATCAGCAACAGCATCATCACCATCATTGGCACCACCAATTCCCTGGTAACACGACCATCGGTGTGAGTCAGCCTGTCAGTTTTCAGTTTGGTAATTAGCTGCTCGGTATGTTTGCATTTCTGCCATCTCTTCTGTGCACTAATCAGTCGGAGTAATCAGCAATCGCGTCTGTGTGCCTCTCGGTGTGCCTGCAACTGTGGTACTATCGTTGAGAGGAAAAGGAGAGTTTGCACTTACCCTCGAGGGTCTTCGACCAGTCAGTCAGNCTAACCTGAACTGAATGTCAGTTCGTTCAACATCAGCAACAGCATCATCATTATCACCACCACCAATTCCCTGGTAACACGACCATCGGTGTGAGTCAGCCTGTCAGTTTTCAGTTTGGTAATTAGCTGCTCGGTATGTTTGCATTTCTGCCATCTCTTCTGTGCACTAATCAGTCTGAGTAATCAGCAATCGCGTCTGTGTGCCTCTCGGTGTGCCTGCAACTGTGGCACTATCGTTGAGAGGAAAAGGAGAGTTTGCACTTACCCTCGAGGGTCTTCGACCAGTCAGTCAGTCAGACGGGGACAGTATCTTTCGTAACACTTTTCTTCTGCAGAAAAAGTAAAGATAGAAAAGATAAGGTTTTAAAGAGTGCACTGTGAAAAGAGAAAGTGGTCACCTCTTGAGTGTTGCAGCAACGTGCTCGCCGAAACACACACGCCGACTGACGCTTTTTATTTTCCTTCAACAGACGACGACCGAGCATCCACCAAAGCAGGCGCATCGCCAACGAAGACTTCGGCAGATCGAAAAGTAACTCCCACCTCACCGAACAACACCACCACCACCACTTCAACTTCAAAGATGCCCAAAATCGAGGAAGGCATTAAGCTGGACTTCAAGGACGTCCTCCTTCGTCCGAAGCGCTCAACGCTGAAGAGCCGCTCTGAGGTGGACCTCAAGCGTGAGTACACCTTCCGCAGCTCGGGCCAGCGGTACACTGGCATCCCCATCATCGCCGCCAACATGGACACCATTGGCACCTTCGAGATGGCCCTGACGCTGCACAAGGTAAATGAGCTTTAGTTGTATTTTGATTCAAATGACAGATGACTTACCCAAAACTTCACTTGTTCTTCAGCACGTCTGCTTCGTCGCCATTCACAAGCACTACAGCATCGAGGAGTGGGTGACCTTTGCCAGAGAGCACAAAGAGGTTCTTGAGGTAATGACTTGAAGTACTTCTTTTCAAATTCTTCAGCCACTAAACCACTTGTTTATAGAACGTCGCCGTCAGCTCCGGCTCCAGCGAGGCGGACTTTGAGAAGCTGAAGGAGATCATCGGCCACATTCCCGAGCTGAAGTTCATCTGCCTGGACGTGGCCAACGGCTACAGTGAGCTCTTTGTGGAGTTCGTGAAGAAGGTGCGCGCCCAGTTCCCACAGCACACGCTGATGGCCGGAAACGTCGTCACCGGAGAGATGGTCGAGGAGCTGCTGCTCTGCGGCGCGGACATCATCAAGGTGGGCATCGGTCCGGGCTCGGTCTGCACGACGCGCAAAAAGACCGGCGTCGGCTATCCCCAGCTCTCCGCCGTCCTCGAGTGTGCCGATGCGGCCCACGGCCTGGGCGGGCATATTATCTCTGACGGCGGTTGCACCTGTCCAGGTGACGTCTGCAAGGCTTTCGGTGCAGGTGAGCATCTTCGGATGATACAAAAAACTTAAAATCGAACCCAAACAAGTTTTGTCGTTTGTCAAAAAACGCGCCTCATGCAAAACACTCTATTTCCACCCTTTCCTACCAAAAAACACCTGTTTAAAAGTGGAAATAGGGCGTTTTCGGACCTTTTTGGTAAAAACTAAACTTCCTTTTACTTTCTTTTCACCCAGGCGCCGACTTTGTGATGCTCGGCGGGATGCTGGCCGGCCACGACGAGTGCACCGGCGAGGTGGTGGTGAAGCCGAACGGCCGGAAGGTGAAGCAGTTCTACGGCATGAGCTCTGCGACGGCCATGGTGAAGCACCACGGCGGCGTGGCCGAGTACCGCGCCAGTGAGGGCAAGACCGTGGAGGTGCCCTACCGCGGGCCCGTGGAGGCGACCATTCTGGACGTGCTGGGCGGCCTCCGCTCCGCCTGCACCTACACCGGCGCCGGCAAGCTGAAGGAGCTGCCCATTCGCACCACCTTCATTCGCGTCACCCAGCAGACCAATGAGATCTTTCAGATGCACGAGGTTTAGAGAGACCAGGACCTCGTTGCCGGATCATGAAATACACCCTAGCTAGGAAATCGCTTTTAACGAGAGAAATGAACTGTTTTTATCCTCCCACCTTCTTCTCTGTTTTCACCGTNGCCGGCAAGCTGAAGGAGCTGCCCATTCGCACCACCTTCATTCGCGTCACTCAGCAGACCAATGAGATCTTTCAGATGCATGAGGTTTGAAAACCAGAATCTCGTTGCCGGATCATGAAATGTACCCTAGCTAGGAGATTGCTTTTAACGAGAGAAATGAACTGTTTTTACCCTCCCACCTTCTTCTCTGTTTTCACTGCTTCCAAGCATTAAACGTTTAACAACAACAACAACAACTTCATCAACAATGTTCATTGCCATTAATCAGCAGACTTAAATAGAATCCGACAGCTGCTCATGCTGTACTTCAGCAGCTGGTACTCTCGCTGGAGCACCTCCAGACGGCGAATGGTGAGACTGGTCGTCTGCAGCAGCTTCTCATCGACCACGCCGCCGGCGGAAGAGTGGGAACTGCCACCACCGCCAGAGTCCTTCGACTTTCCTACGGCTTGACTACCGTTCTGCTCAGTACTCCGTCTGATGGTCGCCCTCAGGTGCTCCTCCACCGAGCTGAACCACTGAAGCGAGTCAAAGTCCGCCAGCTGGTCGAGCAGTTTCAGCACGTAGACGACGCCCATGGCGAAGCCGTCGTCGGTGAAGGTGGCCCCTGAAGAGGAGGAAGAGTTTGCAGCCGTTGATCCCTGATGGTCCTCCTGCTGCTGCTGGTGGAGCTTCTTCTTGGCCGTCCTCGCCAGCCGCTCCTTCCCCGCGATGCTGTGCTGCACGTAGTTGTACGTGGTGGCGGGGAGGATGACAAAAAAGTTGCGCAGATGGGCGTTCTTGCTGTCGCGCAGCGTCGGCGCAAACACCTCAACCAACAGGCGAAAGTAGTCAGTGGCCTCGGAGAAGTTGGTGGCCACGGTGGCGAGGGCCGCATCAAAGTTGGCCGCCGCGTCGAGGGTGGCCGAGTTGAAGTGGGCAGCCGTTGATTCTCCACCACCTCCCTCCTCCCCCACCGTCTCCTCCCTCAGCAGCTCCTCAAAGGTGAACGTGCCCAGGTCCTCCAGGTCGGGCACAAAGTTGGCAATCTCCGAGGTGCAGTGGAGGGCGCCGCTGCGGAGCATCCGCACAAAACCCAGTACATTGCCAATCTGCGTGAGCAGCTGGCGAAAGCGGTCCAGGTAGGTGGACTGGCCGTCGCCGGTGGCGGAGACGCCCAGCTTGCGAATGCCCTTCACAAACTTCTCCGCCCGCTCGTAGGGAAACTTCACCAGAGGATTGGCCGAAGTAGAGGAGACTGATGCTGAAAAAGAGGAGGAGGTCGTCTGCTCGCCCTGCCTCACCACCATTTCCCTGAACTGGCGAATGTCCTTGATCAGCCGCGACTTGATGTGCTCCTCGTAGAGAAAGGCAGACAGCGTCTGGAACTTCCGTTTGAGGAACTGGTAGGCCGCATTCACAGTCGAGTTGATCACCCCAAAGCCGTGCGTCTGCACCGAGTTGGCCACGTGTCTAATGGTGAGCACATTGAGGTGCTTGTTCGTCGAGCTGCGCTCCACAAAGAACTGATTGTGGAGGTTGTAGGCGTAGGCGGCGACAAAGACGGGCAGGTTGCGGGTGATCTCCAGCACGTCCAGGCCCTGCTCCAGCGTCTGCGTGGGCAGCTGGAGGCTGGCGGTGGCCGTCAGGCCGTACTTGGCCCTTGCCCAGCCCAGCATGCTCTCGTAGGTCTTCCAGTCGTGCAGGGCAATGGCCGTCATGTTGTAGGCGAGGGCGGTCAGGTGCTGCTCCACGGCGCGGCGGATCCACAGCAGGCGCCGGCCGCCGGCCAGCTTCAGCGGCTCGGCGGAGAGAAGGGCGGCAAAGTCCTTCATTTTGCGCCTCTTTCCTGAGGCGGCAAAAGGACTGCCGCTGTTCTCCGCCAGCGCCAGCCCTGCGTGCGTCCGATAGCGCAGCTCATCTTCAAAGTCCTTGCAAAGAGGGCTGAGCACCGTCTCCCTGAAACGGCGGGCGACGTCTTCGGTGAAGGCGGCAATGAGTTTAGTCGACTGTGCCTTGCTGATGCCGTTGCCTTTGGTCGCCGAGAGCAGAGGAAGGGCGTCATCGAGGGCGGCAAAGAAGTACTGCAGCTCGCTGGTGTTTGTCAGACTACTGCTGCCGGTGCTGGTGCTAAGTGAGCCCGCCGACCCATCCGAGGAGACCGCCGAGGAGGCCTCGTAGAAGTGGCGAAAGTACTCCTGCACCAGGGCGCGGTTAAAGTAGAGAAAGCGACAGTCGAGCAGGCGGCGCAGCTGCCCAAAGACGCCCATAAAAGTGGCCAGGCGGCGGAGGAGGAGGGCAGTTTTGGCGGCATCTTCCGCCGTGAACACCGTCGAGTAGGGCGTGACGTAGGCGAGGGCGAGTG